TGTGGAGCCTGTGGCTCTGTCCCCACAGACTCCACAGATTCTGGGCACGTTCCGGTCGAAGTCTCCACTGGGCTCCAGCAGGGAAGTGCTGGCAGCAGTTGGTTCCATGTCTGGGGGGAGAAAACCCCCAAAAAAACCTCCATGAAGTTCTCAGAGCTTCCCAGGAAGGAGATCAGAAGCAACTCAAGGCTTTGCCCTTGGCTTGAGGCTGTTGGGCAGGAGGAACTGGTGCTCCCTCCAGCCATAATCCACTCCAATAATATATAATCCACTCCTATATCCCATAACCCACTCCTATATCCCATAATCCACTCCAATAATATATAATCCACTCCTATATCCCATAACCCACTCCTATATCCCATAATCCACTCCAATAATATATAATCCACTCCTATATCCCATAACCCACTCCTATATCCCATAATCCACTCCAATAATATATAATCCACTCCTATATCCCATAACCCACTCCTATATCCCATAATCCACTCCAATAATATATAATCCACTCCTATATCCCATAACCCACTCCTATATCCCATAATCCACTCCAATAATATATAATCCACTCCTATATCCCATAACCCACTCCTATATCCCATAATCCACTCCAATAATATATAACCCACTCCTATATCCCATAACCCACTCCTATATCCCATAATCCACTCCAATAATATATAACCCACTCCTATATCCCATAACCCACTCCTATATCCCATAATCCACTCCAATAATATATAACCCACTCCTATATCCCATAACCCACTCCTATATCCCATAATCCACTCCAATAATATATACCCCACTCCTATATCCCATAACCCACTGCTATAATCCATATCCCACTCCAATATCCCATTCCCCACTCCCATAACCCACTATAACCTATAACCCACTCCTATAACCCTCTATAACCCCTAACCCACTCTAACCCACCATAACCCACTGCTATAACTCACCCCTATCACCCACTATAACCCACCATAATCCACTATAACCCACACCCACTCCTATAACTCACTATAACCCAGTCTAATCCACTCTAGCTCACTCCCACCCCTATAACCCACTATAA